GTTTGCCAACAGAGCTAGAGTGCACCTTCAAGCAACAGCCATCCCCAAACTATAAAACAACTGGAGTAAGTCTACAATAGATGCGTTGCCAGGGATCTAGCTGTTCCGAGCACTACCTGAAGTAGCCTCGTGTTTTTGTTGACTACCCGTGTAATCCACACAGGCCTGTCGTGATGGATACGGAGATTGGGGCTCAGGATCTCATCCCGATTTTGAAGCAACCTAAGCACCTCCCAGTGGCGGCCCCATACGGGCCTAGCATCTGGGCCCACAGCTGACCCAGAACTCTTGGGTCTCTGGAGCTCTTGGAGAAGATCCTGGAAGATAGGGAACTGCATCTGCAGGAGGTGGGTATCTCGTGAAGTATATCCTGCTGGCTCGCAGAACCCTTGCAGCAGTTGATCGTCCCTGTAATTATTTCGTGGGCGACCTGCCCACCACGCTCAGCACTCTGATCGACACTCCGCTGCGAAGCGCCCGCCGCCGCGCTCAGTCACCGACCGAGGTCAAGGAGAGGAGGAGCTGGAGGAATGCAGGCGCAGCTTTCAGATGGAAGAAGAACGCCGTTGCCAGTGTTCGAACGGGGATACGGAAGGCGTCTCTGGAGGAGGTAGGCAAGACCAGGTCGAGCTCGCGCGGCCGCCTTCCAGTCTTTAGCAAGCGGTCGAGTTCCGAGCCATGCTCAAGTTAGTGTGCGCACGTGTGTCAAGCCTACTGTTATGTCTACGTCGGGGGCAGAGCCTAACTTCCAGCTCAACAGTGTCGTGTTCGATGATCTTGAAGAAAGATGCTGCTCTGGATCACAAGGTCTCGAGAGACCGTTTGGACGGCAAAAAAGTTTGGAAACTCTGGGTCAGGGAAGCTATGAACCGCGGGGTGGGGTGGGCCCATCGTTGGTCCAACCGGCCCACCTCCTGGCAATCACACCGAGTTTGGAAACCTCAGCAGGGACGCTGGTCAGGTCGCCCTATCGATTTGCTGGATTCTTCCCTGTGGAAGAGAAGCCCACAGGAACCTTCCTTTCAAGAAGATGCAGAGCGTGGGCTCGACCTCGAGCCGATTGCGCCACAGCAGCTGCGTCGTGCCAGCCGTTCTTTCAGCGCCGCCACTGCCAGGACTTGAGATGGGATACACGCCAAACACCTCACCCTCCTCGGCGATGTCCAGAGGAATGTTGCTCACATCTGTATGTCGAGAGAGCCGTCGAGAGGGCCGGCGTCTTTCCGACCCAGGTCCGCGCCATTGTCACGGTATTGGCTGAAAGCACAGAGAGCAGGCCCCATCCCGGTCCCCCGCTACAGCGGCATTGGCACGATGCCTGGCCTCTGGAGGGCCTGGGGAAAGCACAGGCAGCTAGAACTTGGATCTTGGGAGGCTTCGAACTGCAGGCTTTATCTGGCACACCAGTCGGTCAAGGGTGTTCTGGAGGTGTTTTTTTTCCATGCAGGCTGAGGGCAACTTCCTGAATGATAGCAAAGCTTTCTCTGAGGCTGTTCTTTGGGGCTTATCCAATAATTATGAATACCAGGATAAAGCCATCTGGAGGGACCGTGCTACAAAAGAAAGTTCTGGGACTCACGGGTCGTCCTCAGTAGTAATCAATATCAGGCACCCCGCACTGTTGCGACCCGCCCTTGCTTTGACAGCTCGTCGTCCGAAGAAAGGGATAGCAGCAGGATGTTGAGCTGCCAACTTCGTAGTGCAGCAGCAATGTTTACCGCCCATCGGCACATGGGTGGCCAGCAGTCCCCGAGTGCAGCTCACCACCTTCACACACGACCTTCTCTTTGCAAGCCGCAACAGCAAGCCGAATGTGCTTATCCGTGATCGCGTCGCGGCCTCAGCTAGCATGCATCAATCCATCGAGCATGATCTGAAGTGTGAGATCGCTACCCATGACCGCGTGAAAAGCGACCCCCGCCCCCCACATGAGGAACTTTAGACCAAGTGTACGGCAAATCACCTCGCTTGCAGGGCGCCTACACTTACGCACCTTGGCCACAACTGCAAAACGCTGACATAAAAAATGGGAGCCACCCACTTGAACCTCAAAGGGATAGGGTGGACCTGATCACACCCATTAATGTTCACGAGCCAGGCTGGAAAGAATCTCCCGTGCACCACCGCCCCGCCCGCTTTGCGTTTACTCGTTTCTTGAAGGGTGCCTGGGAGGAGGAGATTGCCAGCCTTGCCGCAGAGAAGATGGGAAATGTTGCTGTCGAGATCTCGCACGCCCAGCACGCGCTGGACAGCAAGCACAGACCGAATTCAGATAGCAGCCTCCTCCTCCTCCTCCGCGTCTACCTTCCCCTGTCCGTATGGACTCTCCCCCGTTTGAAGGAAGCGGGCTACGACACCCACACAGTGCACATGCGGAGCCCCGGGTGACGGTATCAAACACAGGTTATTGGAATGCAGTGCGACTCGTAACATTCGAGATGAGTTGCTGGAACCTGGAGGTTTGAAGCCCCGAGTTAACCTGAGGCCTTTGCTGAAAGCGCTGCTTTTCCTGAACCCCACCTTTTTCAAAGGTCCCGAGGCCTCCTAGGCGCAGTTGAAAAGAAGCTGGTTTCCGCTCTGAGGATGGCATTTCGCCTGACGGTCTTTTTGGTTGGGGAGTTGTACGTCGAGGGGAGCGTGGCCAAGGATGGTTGGTTGCCCCTGGTTTCGTGCGCCTGTTGGGCCCTAATCGAGCTGGGGCCCAACGGCTCCCTCTCAGGTTTTCTGTGTGGCCATGTGGGAGCTGGCTTCCCAGGGTCGTCACCAGCAGCCGAGTTTCTAGCCTACCATGCCACCAGCTGGTTCAGAGGTACAACTCAGATCCATTGTGATTATGACGGGGTTGCTGATTTCCATAACCTCCACGTTTTCGCGAATATAGAGACTCAATGTGATTGTCTCGGATCCCTGGCCAAGCGTGTAGAGGCCAGCCGATACGGAGGATTGCTATGGCAGGGTCTCGCCAGGGCCCTATTTCCCTTGAGCCGTTGTCTGACCAGTGGTGGCACGCCACGGGAAACTCGGGAGCCGACCGCGTGGCCAACGGAGCTGCCGCCGAGCTGCCCCGGCCCTCGGAGGCCGAGGGGTCCCAGCAGGCCGAGCTCCCCAGCGGGCTCCACAGGGTCCTTCGGGATGCTCCCAGGGCCCTCGCCCGTGGCCCACAAGTGGACCCAAGGGCGGGGGGGGGGGGGGCAAAGGCTTAGAGGCCCCCGTGCAAGCCACCAATCCAGGCGCAGCCTCCCTCTCGGAATCGTGGCACGGCCAAGCTGCGGTCGGGGGTGCTCCGGGCGCTGCGGCTGCGGCGGCCCCATCCCTCCCCCTGGGGCCTCCCGAGGCCCTCGTGCGGCCCACGTCTGGAGCCACCAGGGTCAACGCTGGCTCCGCCTTCTCTGCCACTCAAGATGCCTGCCTGGCACGACCAAAGCTGCCCGCGAGAAGGAAGCATGCCCTGACAGTGCGGCAAGGCTGCCCTACCTCGCGATCCCGCCTAACGGTCACCAGCTGTTCGCGGCTGCTGCCAGTCGCGATGCATGTTTCACTGTTGCGTTCAAAGATTGCGGAAGGTACAGAAAGTGTGCCCTCAGAGGTCTCCGTCTGCACTGCATCCAGACCTGTGGTTCCACTTTCAGCCAGTGTGTCTGGGATCCTCTTTGCAGTGGGCGACACCCTAAGAGCTCTCAAAGAGGAGACAAGTCGTGTAACAAGCCCCGACCCCAATCAGGCAAGCAGACTCAAGTGCTGTAATTCAAACGCTCGAGTCGCCATAGCGACATCGGACCCTTCCCGAAGCCGTGCGAGGGTCCTCCTCCTCTTCCTCTTCTTCTCTTCCTTCTCTTCCTCATCCGCCTAATGTGTCCTCCTTCTCCCTCCGCTCCCCCCCCTCCTCATCTTCCTCCTCCTCCTCCTCTTCCTCCTCCTCCTCCTCTTCCTTCTCTTCCTTATCCGCCCCATGTACCCTCATTCTCCCTCCGCTCTCCACCCCTCCTCATCCTCCTCCTCCTCATCCTCCTCCTTCTCCTCCTCCTCCCCCTCCTCCTCCTCTTCCGATTCCTCCTCCATCCTCCCCCTCTTGGGGTATGAGGGGTATGACGGCGTCCCCAACCGCATCCCTGAGCGGGGCAACTCGCCTGGGCATCGTTTCTGGATGGGCTGGTGGAGTCACGCCAAGCGTCTAGAACGTGTCTCAGGTGCTTGAAGGGGTTGTCTTCGGCAACCCACGACAGACCAAGGGGCCTCCAAGGCGAGTCCAATACAAGCCAAGAGACACCCAAGAAGGCCCCAGGAAAGCCGAAGAGACCCTCAAGATGGCTCCAGGACAGCACCCGAGAGTCCCAAGACGGCCCAAGCTCGTCCCCAAGACGACGTCCAAGACGAACACACGTCGTCCAAAGATGGCCCCAAGGCGGCCAGAGGCTCACCAAGAGGGACCCACGTCGTGCCAAGATGGCCTCAAGGCGACCACCGAAGCTCACTAAAAAGACCAACGACGACCGCCAGGAAGGCCACCAGGAGCGCAAAATGACTGGTTTCCCTCTGGCCCTGAACAAGCTCCGCGGTCTCACAGTTTCGGGCGTCCTTGTGGACCGAGACGGCCCAAGAGGCATCCAAGATGGCCCCAAGACGGCAACAAGACGCCCCCACAAGGGCACGTTGAGGGTCCATGAGGCCCCCCAAACGGCCCCAGGACGGCCCAAGAGGGCCCCAAGACGGCTCAGGAGAGTCTTGACAGCGTCCCCAAAGTCTCCAAAGACGTCCAAGTGGGCCTCAAGACGGCAAGACGGTCAAAGATGCTCCAGGACGGCGGAAGAGGGCCCCGAGAGGACCCCCATAATTAGAGGGTCTCTGGCAGATCAGCACGGCAGACAGCACGGCAGACCCTGAGCTTACGCGCATCCCCGAAGCCCCCAAGAGGCCGACACGAAGACCCGCGACGGCCAGACTCTATGAGATCTTGCACGCTCTGGACGCACACCCTGCGAAGCGAGAGGAATCTGTGAAGCCCTTTCGGGTCTCAATCGTAGTGTACACCTTGTCCTGAACGACTGCGTCGATGGCGTCCACCGTGAGGCCAAAGTACGAGATGAGCACCACGAGCTCGTGGATCATCATATTCTTCATCATGCCCTCAGCGTTGCGCTCGAAACATTCGTCCATGGCCTCTGGGGAATTGAACATGTCATTGCGCCCGATGGTCAAGGAGGCGGAGGCGGGCGCGGTGGTGTAGAAGTCCTGCGCGAGCCTGACGTATTTGCTGAAATTCCGGTTGAATCCCATGAACACTGGCACGCCCTTATCTTTCGCATACTTCGTCATCTCCTCTAAGTCCGCCACGGTCGGGGCTCCCGGCTTCTCAAGGTAAACGTGCGTGAAGCCATGATCGATGGCCTCCCTGAAAATGCGGGGGGCGTCCATGGTGCGGCAACAGATGATGGCCAACTTGGGCGCGCCTGCTGGCACAGGCACGTCACCAATCTTCTCGTGGAAGGCGATGCCCTGCGACTTCTTCTGCCACTCCTCGAAGTCGGCGCTGCTGCCCTTGCCCTTTCCAAGAAACCACGGCTCCACAACGTCGGTGAGGCGCGCACCCTTCACACGATTGTCAAACAGCTGCTTGCAGTGGTACCACCCCATGCCACGCTTGGGAGCGCCGCTGCAGACTACGCAGACATCGACGGTCGCTGTAACTTCTGGCATGCTGCGAACGCGCCTCGGCAACTCCAGCTCAGGACAACGAACTCGAGCCGAAATGGCTGGGGACGCCGCTGAGGATGGCCGGACAGCAAGACCTCTCCCCCTTCGCAGCTAATCCCTACCCTAACCTACCCCAGGCCCTGTCGACACTGCGCCAAATCCAACCTGATCCATTCAAATTAACGTGGCCAACGGCTCGGCGACACCAGGATGCCGCCCGCGCCTAGGCGAGAGCAGCATTTTCGATCAGAGATGTGGTCCACGCGCAAGCAAAAAAAACATGCTCAAGAAAGGAAGTCGCCAGCGTCCCAGGAGCCCAGTCCGGTCCATTTGGAGGGGGGGGGGGGTCCGGCCGGACGGCCCCGGGCGGCCCGGAGGTCTCATCCGCTCCCGAAAATCGTGGAAAAACACGTGAAAATCGTGTAGGGACGCGTCTGGTGGCCTCGAAATGGGTTTGGGACGCCCCACGAGCGCTCCAATACGTCCAAGTTGGCCCGAAGACGGGCCACGAGGCGTCCTCGACGGCAGAAGAGGTCCCCACGAGCTCCCCCGAGGGCCTCCGAGATGCGTTCCACAAGGGACCCTAGACGCAAAAATTTGGCCATTCCCTTGGTGAAATGTACATTTTTTAGAAATTCAGCTTTGGATCTTTCCGATGCTCCCCGACGGCCCTAGAGGCTCCCAAACCCGCTCCCAGACGGCCCCAGAAGCCTCGCAGAGGGTCCCCCACAGACCCCTAGAGGGCCCAAGATGGGCCAACAGGCGTCCAAGACGGCCCGAGAGGGCTCCGAAAACGGCCCCAAGAGCGTTCCAGGAGCGCTCCGAGTTGCCTCCACGAAGCTCCACATGGTCCCAGACGGTCCAAGAGCGATCAGAAACATCGACGACGACCTCCCGACGGCTCACGAGGCCTCCCCAGACGCCCCCACAGGCATCCAAGATTCCCCCCAAGAGGCCCTCTAGACGCAAAAAATCGCTCGTTTCCTTCGTAAAACATTTCTTTTTCACACGTGCGCCTCTGGGGGTGTCCCCCGCTCCTGCACGGCCCCAGAGCCCCCCAAACCCGCTCCCAGACGGCCCAAGACGCCTCCAAGAGGGTTCCTACACAACCCTCGAGGGCCCCACACCGGGCCAACTGACGTCCAAGACGGCCCCTTGGGGTTCATCGGCGTGTGAGATGTTCCCCCTCCCCAAACCCCTCCCCCGGGAGCCCGGTCCGGTCCATTTGGAGGGGGGGGGTCCGGCCGGACGGCCACGGACGGCCCCGGGCGGCCCGGAACCCCCCGGAGGTCTCATCCGCTCCCGAAAGTCGTGGAAAAACGCGTGAAAATCGTGTAGGGACGCGTCTGGTGGCCTCGAAATGGGTTTGGGACGCCCCACGAGCGCTCAAGACGTCCAAGTTGGCCCGAAGACGGGCCACGAGGCGTCCTCGACGGCAGAAGAGGTCCCCACGAGCCCCCCCCGAGGGCCTCCGAGATGCGTTCCACAAGGGACCCTAGACGCAAAAATTGGGCCATTCCCTTCGTGAAATGTACATTTTTTAGAAATTCAGCTTTGGATCTTTCCGATGCTCCCCGACGGCCCAAGAGGCTCCCAAACCCGCTCCCAGACGGCCCCAGAAGCCTCGCAGAGGGTCCCCCACAGACCCCGGAGGGAGTAAATTGCTCCAGAAATTCTGCTGGATGGCGCCCGACGGCGTCGACATGACACCCAGAAGCTCCAAGACAGCCCAAGATGGCTTCCAGCTGGCCCCAGATGGCCCCAAGCCGCATCCAGATGGTCTCCAGACAAAGCAAGAAACGCCAAAGACGACCAAAGAGACTCCCAAGAGGCCTCCCAACCGGGCTTCAAGAAGCCAAACTAATTGATTTGCCTAAGCTTTGTAAAGTGTTGGGCCTTCTTGCCTCTTCGAATTTCCGACGGCACGAGCAGCCCAAACAGGCGCCCAAGACCGCACCAAGACGGCCAAAGAGAGTCCCAACAAGGCCGCAAGAGAGCCCGAACACAGGCCAAGAGCCGCCCAAAACGGCCCAAAAGAGACCCAAGACAGTCCGAACTAAGGCCTAAGACAGCCCAAGAGGCAGCCAAGACGGCCCAACAGAGCCCCACAACGCCACAGGAAGCACCAAGAGGCCTCTAAGAGGCACCACGAGGCCACCAAGAGAGGCGCACACGAAGCCGAAAAAGACACCTCTGAGGCACAAAATATGCTTCAAAACGAGCTCCCAAAGGCACCGACACCGACAACATGAGCGAAGGCGACGCGCTGCGAGCCCCCCCAAGGGGTCGGCGGTGTGGCGTAAGCCCAAGAATCGCCAGCGTCGAGGCGGCAGCAACATCTTTAATCTGAGATATGTCACTGGCGCTTGAGCGACAGCAGCATTTTCGATCAGAGATGTGCCCACGCACAGGCGAGAACAACACGCTCAATCAAGGACGTCACTGGCGCCTAGGCGAGAGCAGCATTTTCATTCAGAGAAGTGGCCCACGCACAGACGAGAACAACACACTCAATGAAGGATGTCGCCGGCGCTTAGGCGACAGCAACATTTTCAAACAGATATTTGGCTGGCGCCAAAGCGAGAAAGACATTCTCAATCAAGGACGTCGCCAGCGCCTAAGCGACAGCGACGCTTTCAATCAGAGATGAGGCCCACGCACAGGCGAGAACAACACGCTCAATGAAGGTTGTCGCCGGCGCCTAGTCGACAGCAGCATTTTCAATCAGAAATATAACCCACGCGCAAGCAGAAGCATCATGCCGAGACAATCGTGCCGCCAGAATGCAGATGCCACGCCCACTCCGCGCGGGCCGGGCTCGGTGTCACCGAGGTCTGGGCTACGTGAGGTGGGTAGTCCACGTAAGGGGGGGAGACTTGTGTCCGCTCCAGCTCGGCCGGACTCCTCCCGGGCACAAGCACCGACACAAAACCCCGGGCTCTCGGCCCCCCGTCCCCTTCCGGGCCCCACCCCTTTCATCCCGTGGCAACGACAGGCGGCCAACAAAATGCTCTTGTCCTCCTCCTCCGCCTCCTCCTCCTCCTCCTCCTCCTCCTCCTCCTCCCGTATGACGGGCAGCACGGCGCGTTAGACAGAGGCTTCGCAGAGCGCCTTCTGCTCGAGAGATCTGCGCCTCGCCGGGGCGTGGCGCTGCCAGAGTGCTGCTCTGCGCCGCCTTGCCCTCCACCGAGCGGGTCTGGGGGCTCCTCGGAGTCGCAGGAGAGGGCGCACTGGATGGAAGCGTCCAGAAGCCCCTGGAGCTCACTGGAGACCCCTGGGCCGCTCCCTTGGGCGCGAACATACCGATCTGAGCATAGCACTGCGGTCGAGGGCGTTGACCCAAGGAACCCTAAATAAGGAGAGAGGCCCCTTCTTTTCCATAAGCTAAACTTCGACTTCCCATCGAAAACCTGAGGAAAACCTTAGGCAAGGTGTGGAACAATTAAGGTTCACCGAGCCCCTCCCCAACGAAAAGGGTTCCCTCTTCAGCGCCCCGACTGTACATCCCACCAGCCCTCTGGACTGAGGTGGTCTAAGGCGTGTCCTCCTTCCAGCCGTTTCTTCCACTTCGAGGAGGGGAGCACGGTAGGGGGAGACAATTACTGAACACTCCCCCTCCCCCCAAACGCAAAGCTGGCACGCGCGGGAGACTGCGGTCGAGGAGCAGCTCGTCAGACCCACCGCCAACTTTGATCACTGGGGTGAGGGGGAGGCATTGACAGATGAATGTGGCATGAGTGTTCGCTATTTTTTCCGAGGCCTGTATAACTGTTGATCAAAGGTATACACCCCCCTCCCAAACTCTTCCAGCCCATGACCCGAGCCATTGCCACGACCTCACACTAACCTTGTCAACAAACAAGGTAATGCAGTTTACGGAAAAATCTGGATCATGTTCGGGCGAAAGGCGATCACATTACATTCGTTGACAGGGACGAGTGGCGGGGGGCATCATATTGCCCCACGTGTACAAGCCCGCCTTCCCTGTGAAACCAATGCAAATTACACGTTGCGGCAAAAACTTGGACCATGCGAGGCCGCGCCATGATCATGTTGAAGTATTATTTGACAGGGATGGTAAGGGTGCCATGGCACACGCGGCGCACCTCGCGGGCGTCGCGCACCTGGCTAGCTTCTGCAGTGGTTCCCGAAGGGTGTCGATGGCGGCCCATGCCTATGCTGAGATTCGGGTGGTCCGTACATTGCGGGGCGGCGGAAGGGAGTGGGCAAGACGGTCATCCTTAGGGGAGGGGTAGCTTGACCCCACCACTAAACTCTGGGTCTGGACAAAGGGGGGTTGGGCGGAGACAAGTTAGAGCTCAAAGATGGTCCAAGAAGATGGCTCGAGATGGGCCCAAGATGGTCAAACATAGCCCAAGATTGCCCCCCTGAATCTACGCAAGATATACGATGCCTCCAAGGTGACATCCACTATGTCTCCCAGAGGCCCCAAGACCCGCCGAAGACGGCTCCAAGTGAACACGGAGCCTCCGGAGGCCCCAAGGAGGTAAGCACCCTTCCAAAACCAGAAGGATATCAATGGGTTTGTCCTTCTCGCAGTCTCGCTCACAACGGGCCTCTGAGGCCTTAAGCTGGCCCCAAGATAGCCTCAGAGAGCCCCAAGAGGAGAACCCCAAGAGCGGCCATCCAAGGCGGTCCCAAGAGCGCCCCAAGAAAACAACGTTTCGGGCCCAAAGGGCCCTGATCGGCGCAGCCCCCTTTGCTTGCCCGATGGCCTCCGAGATGTTCCCAAGAGGGCCCTCGAGAGGGCCCAAAGAGACCCAGAGAGCCCGAAGAGGGCCACGGATGCCCCTTAAATGGCCTCAAGAGGTCCCCAAGATGGCGCCAAGATGCACCCAAGACCCCAGATCTGCTTCTACTTCTCCTTCTCATCCTCCTCCTCCTCCATCCCTTTCCCTGTGAACAACTCCTCCCTGCCGCGGCCTCGAGACGCGTCGGTAGCGCGGCCCGAGCGTTTCGACTGAGACTTCCTCACCATTTATAATCCTGAAGCTGAAAAGCTGCCGGAGCAGCCAAGATGAAAATGTGGCCCGCCGCAGC